GGCAGTACCCAAGATATAGGGTTTAGGGTTCAAGGTTTTAAACCCTAAGCCCTAAACCCTAAACCCTATTCCCTAAACTCCTAAACCCTAGACCCTAGAGTTTAGGCTTTACTAAAGGGGGGCAGTACCCAAGGTTTAGGGCTTAGAGCCTACGTTGAACAAGCTCCCACCTCGAGTTCCTCCGCCGCCAAGTCGCTGGCCTGTCGGGTCTTAGGGTCTAGTAAGGGTTTAGGGTTTAGGGTTTAGGGTTTAGGATCTAGGGTTTAGGGCTTAGGGTTTAGGATCTAGGGTTTAGGGCTTAGGGTTTAGGATCTAGGGTTTAGGGCTTAGCGTTTAGGATCTAGGACACGGGGTATACAGGCCCTTGCTGAGAACTCAATGTCTCTGCAGCACTAGTGTCCCCCTTAGGTAGATAGAATCTGGGGTCTATGGGGATGTTATTATAATATACCCAAGGCCATATTCTATCTACTTAAGGGGAACTATGATTTGGTCAGGGGCTCGCAGGACACGACCCTGAGCCCTAAACCTTCGGTCATTCCCCCTCCGAGTAACTGTCCTTAAAGGGAGATTTATCAGGGGTGATATGACTCCTAGTATCTTTTGTGGGAACTGTTACTGTAAGGGGGAATGACCTAACCTAAACCCTTTAACACTGGGACAGGGCACCATGCTCAGCAACTGTTAAGCGGGCGCGCCTGCAACGGACTAGCTGCTTTGCTTTTTTTTTCATGATCATAGCCCAAAGGCCTTGAACTCTAGTCCCCCAAGCATGATCCCAAACCCTAGACTTCCCCAAACCCTAAACTCTGAACCCTGAACCCTGAACTTCCCTGAACCCTGAGTCCTAAATCCTAAACCCTGAATCCTAAACTTCCCTAAACCCTAAACACTAATCCCTAAACCCTGGTCCCTAAACCCGAATCCCTGATCCCTAAACCCTAATCCTAAACCNNACCCTAAACCCTAAATCCTTAACCAGAGTCTCAGATGCCTGGTCTTGGCGACGCACGGCGGCTGCCAGTGCGACGAGGAGGGAGGCGGCAAAGAGTCGAGACATGGCTGGGAGAGGAAAGGAATTTTGCAGACCTGTGCAACATCTACCTCGGCTAATTTCAGAGCCCGGCTGAGAGTGAAGTAAAGGCCACCTTAGGAAATCTTACGAGTCTTTGAGGTGTTTTGGACAGGTGCAGGAGTAGATCATGATGCATCCGGGATTGCATATCTCAGGTTGGCAGCCTTGGCCTTGAGAGCTTCCATCATAAAGAATGACGTAGCATGCCCTCTACTGGGTTGCTGTTAAGG